GTATAGGAAATCAAAACAAGCTTCCAGAGTCCTCTTCTTCTTTCTTCTTCTTCATACGTGAGACCCAAGCTAAGGTAAGATCTCTTGTCAGTGAATTTCTTGATGAATTTATGGTTGATTCATGACCATTAGGCAATAGTTAAGCTTAAAGGAAGTTTAAATTGTTTTAAAACCTCAAGATGAGAAGTAAATGAAGAATTAAAGAAAGGAAGTAGAAAAGTGAAATCTTATATTAGAGTTCATAATAAGAATTGAAAGTGAGATTTGACTTGTCATTAAGTTAATTAAGGGATAGGAAGTGTTAGAATAGGAATTTGAACATGTTGCAAAAATAGTATAATTTTTGTAATTACATAGGAATGACTAGATTTGGAGTTTAAAGAAGTTATTATGGAGTAGAAATGAGTTTAAGTATGTGTATTAAAGTTAGGAATATTAAAGGGAGTGAAATAGGAAGGTTTGAGCTGAAATAAGGTGATTTTCGAGCTCAAAATGGAATTTCTGGGCTAAGGGAATCGGTACCCATTCAAGGGGAATTGATCCCCCCTCAAACGAATATGAATTTACAGAATGCTAGAGGGGAATCGATACCCCCAGGGGGGAACCGATTCCCCCATAAAAAAAAGAGAAACTAAACTATCAATTCCTTAAATTGTTAGGCTATTAGAGGTTAATTTCAAGACTTAGGCATCTGATAATCATCTTGAAAATTTTGCTTATGTAGATATTGAGCCTAATCGAGTTCTGGAACAATCGACAAGTAGGATCGATCGATGGAAAAACAAAGAAATCTAGGTGATTGCATATGCATAACATGAATATAGTATTATAATCAGTTCTAGACTTATGATAAGTCTAGATTCAATATTTTTATACATGATTACATTCGATATTATGAAACACGATATGAGTTTATACCATATGCATTATGTGACATGAATATGCAGGAAATGATATGTCTATATGATAAAGGTATGAAAATACTATGTCTACGTGATACAAATTATGTGAATTGTGAAAGCCCATGTTAAGTAGATGTGAACTATAAGTATAGTTGGCATGCCAAGGGTAGAGGGTCTACGCGGTCCTTCGAGATATATTTATATTCTTTGGAACATGTGTGAAGTCTTGTGAGACACATACTTGATCCCTAGTATATGTATATGATTCTTAAGGAATGATATGTGGTCCTTATGGACATTATTATATGGCACTACGATGCAATTCTACGCGGCACTCCGGTGCAATTCTACGTGGCACTTCGGTGCAATTATACGAGCTGTGGTGACAGCATAGTGCACAACCTCACAATACTCACATACCTTAGGTTCTCAATATGGTATCATGGGCTAATGAACTTAATAATGTGAACATATGAATGTGAAATTTGATAAGTCTATGTGTAAGAATATGGTTATGGTTATTGCATTGATTACATTCATATTATCATTGCAACCCATCTCATTTTGGCAATTTCTTTATATTTTATGGTTATTATTATATTGCCTCACTAAGTCGATGACTTAGCGTGTGAGTGTTGTACGCGTAGGATTCGATAAAGTTGACGATCGAGGTTAAGCAGCTGGACAACATTACTCCTGCAACTATCAGATCAGAAGCAACTTAATAGTATGTCATTTTGTTATGTAAATCAGTGTTGGCATGTAATAGAAGGTTAAGTTGCGTATGCTCTGAGTATTTTGTGAACCTTGTATAGACTTATACATATATATATATATATATATATATATATGTAGATTATCGTATTTTCTTAATATAATTCAAATGTTTTGTTATTTTGTTAAGAATAATGTTTTAAAAAGGTAATGTGACATCTCAGACTCGTACTCGGGTCGGGTAGGGGTTGGGGGGTGTTACAAATAGACCAAAACTTTTAGAGACCAATATAAAATATAGCAAGAAGAGAAGTGGCCTTATGTGTGATTAACCCAAAGTTAAATTAAAAGCATTCCCCTTCCTTCTTAATCAGAACACGTGAACCCCAAATATAATTTCTTTTCCCATTTTTTTTATTATATTCAACATGTTAAACCAATAGCATTCTTCTCCTTTTCTTTCACGCCATACACAGAGCATCCATGGCGTCTGGATCTTTGGTGAATTTGACCATTCGACTCTAGACCTGACGCGACGACACCCCACTCCAACGAACACCAAAGCAAGGTAACCTAACTTCCTATCTCTATTTTAATTAATTTTTCTTTAGAACTCATGGAATTTACGTTAACAACTAACAAAATTATAAACTAAAATTCTTATTATTAGTTGCATTCGAATTGAATAAATAAATTAAAGAAACTGAAATACAAACTAGAATACCTTTGAATTTGATTCTGTTTTGATTGCCAAAAAATTCTATATTTATTGCTCTTTTTTCTTCTGAAAAACGAGAGGAATCCGGCCACCTTTTCTTACATTTTCATTCGGTTTTTTATAGTCATTTTCTTACATGGCTTTTACATAAAAAAAATAGCAATTTGCAATGTGATCATACTTTGGATTATATCTCACATGCATATGTAGGCATTGGTAGGAAACAAGCATTAATGCTATGGGGCAGCGACACTTTGAATGCAAGTTGTTCAAGCTTAGATGAGCTGGGTCACTGGGATGAGGACAAAAATCTGGGGTCTACAGCTTTGACTTAAATTAAATATTAGGAGTCACCACCGTTCATTTATTTTTCGTAAAAATTTGGTTGACCGGATACCATTTTACCTGATCTACGTTTTTACCAGAAATATGCCGGGCTCGGGAGTCGGTTACATTCAAGGAAGGATTAGCACCCTTGAACTGCCCTTTCGGTATCATTTAATTTATCGGTTGTCTTAGTTGCGAAAATTGAAATTAAAATTAAAATTAAAAAAATCGAACATAATTATTTACCTTTTGATCAATTAAAATTATTCCTAAAATTCATAAATAAAGTTGCAAAATAAAACATACAAAAACAAAGAGTTAGTATTAAGATCGAAATAAAAAAAAAGTAAACATGGATCTATATACGATAAATACAGGAGCCTGAATTGTAATAAAATATAATTATATGGATTAAAATGCAAAAATATATAAGATAATATCTAAAATGAAAATAAACAAAGATAAAAATACAAAAAGAAAAAGAAAAGCAGTACCCAATCAGGAATAAATAGTAACTAAAATAAAATAGATAGAAAATAAAGTGTCAAAATTAGAAATAAACAAAACAAGAAATATAACATGGTAGTAACTAAATCAAAAACTAATAGTGACTAAAATAAAGGAAATGAAAGTTACAAGCGTAAATCATCACAAAATATAACATATTGGTGATCGAATTGAAAATAACGAAAATAAAACACCTGAAATAAAATAAAAACATAGAGCTTTGGTGACTATAATATAAAAATAATGTAATATTAGAGGGACCTAAACGTGATTAAATGTAAGGATTTGGTGGCCAATATATAAAAACACAACAGAATCGGGAGGGCCTCAACGCAATTAATCGCACAAGTTTAGTGACTGATTTTTAAAAACACGTGATAATGGAGTGGCTTAAACATGAATAGACCAAAACTTTTAGAGACCAATATAAAATATAGCAAGAAGACAAGTGACCCTATGTATGATTAACCCAAAGTCAACTTAAAAGCATTCCCCTTCCTTATTAATTAGAACACGTGAACCCCAAATATCATTTCTTTTCCCATTTTTTTTATTCTATTCAACATGTTAAACCCATAGCCTTCTTCTCCTTTTCTTTCACGCCATACACAAAGCATCCATGGCGTCTGGATCTTCAGTGAATCTAACCATTCGACTCTAGACCCGACGACGACGACACCCCTCCGACGAACATCAAAGCAAGGTAACCTAACTTCTTATATCTATTTTAATTAATTTTTCTTTATAACTCATGGAATTTACTTTAACAACTAACAAAATTATAAACTAAAATTCTTATTATTAGTTGCATTCGAATTGAATAAATAAACTAAAGAAACTGAAATACAAACAAGAATACCTTAGAATTTGATTCTGTTTTGATTGCCAAAAAATTCTGTATTTTATTGCTCTTTTTTCTTCTGAAAAACGAGAGGAATCCGACCCCTTTTCTTACATTTTCATTCGGCTTTTTATAGCCATTTTCTTACATAGCTTTTACATAAAAAAATAGCAATTTGCAATGTGATTATACTTTGGATTATATCTCACATGCATCTGTAGGCATTGGTAGGAAACAAGCATTAATGCTCTGGGGCAGCGGCACTTTGAATGCAAGTTGTTCAAGCTTAGATGAGCTGGGTCGCTGGGATGAGGACAAAAATCTAGGGTCTACAAGTATTTTTCATCCTAAATCCGAACACAAACCTAATTTTTTAAATAAATACCCAACTCCACCGGGTCAGATCAGAACATGTTGGGTTTGGTCCCGTGCCCAGTTTTCTGCATTTTATCCGTCTTGTAATTAGCTTGAAATTCTCCTGATCTTAACGTTAACACCATGATGATAAGTATCACAAAATAGGTCAACAGGTTGCTTAAGTTGCAAGCTATAACGTTTGCTTTGGCATATTCCTAATCCTTAATGAACTAATTACCGTTTTGTATTCTTCGTTAAACTCATTGTGATTTTATATTCTATTACTCCTAGTCATGGTCATACTATGAATAGATTCGTACAGAGATCGGAATTCGAAGGAACTTGAGTAAAGAACACCAAAAATCATTACATATAAGCCAACTAAACCTTCATGAAACTACTAAAGCCAAACCTGCAGTACCCAAAATCATTTAAGATGGTAATGATTGTTTACCAATTGTAGTGAATTGAACTGAACATGGTAAGTCCCCTTCCTAAAATCATTTAACAGCAACAATCAACATGGAAACAACTTGGAGATGAAGTATAGAGATTAGGTTCTTAAGTTTCAGCAAAACTCAATTGTTATCAACATTCTCGACCAGAATATAACATTAATATTTAATTGGTTTAAAGGTCTGAATTCAACTGCAAACTGGAAAATAAAACTACTGTGACAAACGACTGTCCTTGGTGTTTTTCGGCAGTTCTTTTATTTCACCATCCTGCCTCCGGTTCTCTTTGCCTAATTCTAAGCCTTGGAATGTGACCCTAGATGATCTGTACTGGCTACCAAAGGCAGAACCAAAGCCCCATCCAAGGCCAAAGCCAACCCCACAGCCACCACCTTCACATACACACTAATTCATGAGCATCAACGAAATGGATTAACGAATTAATTGTAAGAAGTATTGAAGGAATACCTGCACCGAGACCTAAAATATTCAAAGGCATACCTGCAGGTGAGAATGGAATCACAAAAAAAGAGAAAAAACGGTTGCAACCGTATTCATAGCTGAAAAGGTATTGATAGATTTTAAGATAAGATGCAAGAATTTACATATATAATAGAACATGAATGGCACTAATTATATCATTACGTCCATAATTTAGCCATCTACAATTTACAATCAATGGAATGACCAATGAGTAGATCTACAGCAAACTAATACATCTAAAATCTGGAACAAAAAGAAGAGATAATCTTAAAAGGTATCGAGAAAAAGCAATCAAAAGCATCCTAGTTAACATAAGATTGTTGAAGCTCAAAACCTTCATCATCAAATGTTCCAATGATAGTTATTCCACATTTTCTCAATAATAATACCTTAAGTCATAAACCCCATTTCCAACAAAGAGAAGAAGAGATAAACAGCAAACAAAAGACACATTGCATCTACACATTCTTGCCTTGTAACTGTCTATGTAACAGGATTCAATTAGTCGCATAAAATGGCAAGCAACGGACACAAAATAATCACGAACTAATTTTAAAACATCGCAAAAGGTATCTCCAGCAACTTATGACTAAGAGATAAAGCAATGAACAAATAACCCTCACTAACCGATGATGAAGAGAACATGTCTGGTACTTTATTCTCATGAGACATCAATAATTCAATCTAAAGTGTTATAATCTTCAACATGAAGCTAAAATTATAATATTTAACTGACATCAACAACCAAGGCAAAAACAAATTCCCTAATTCCTCTATGTCAAGCCAACAGCCATGTCATCTGTTGGTAGTGTGTTGGACACTTGGTTCCAGTAAACTGAACATAAAGAAAAACTATGACCAACCTCGCAAATGATGAAAACAAGAATTGATAATCACTTTTCCTTGAATAGAATAAAATGAATTGAGGGACACATGAATATAATTTTTTTATGCAGTTGGAAATTAAAAACGAAAATTTAAGCTGAAACATAAAAAAAAAAATGAAAGCCGACTAAAGAAACAAACCCCCAAACCCCCATCCAACTCCGAAGCCGCATCCAACGCCAAAACCTGAGAAAAATCAACAGAAAAGAAAGCTCAAAGACAAGAAATTTAGTTTAATAAAATATTAAAAGGAAGTGTAAAAAAAAATGGGTATACCAAGGCCAACGCCAAACCCATTGAAGTTGGTAATCATTTTGCCTTCTTAGCTGTGAATAAAAGCAGATTCTAATCAAACACAGAAAGAGTGAAAGAAAGAAAGGGTAGTCGAATTCATTGCAGTAGAATAGGGAAATGAAAGTAATCTAACATTTAATGTAAGGTACAGAAATTGTTGTCAAGGATGAAGTGATTGATCTTCGAGAAGAGAATAGAATAGAAAGTGAGGGTATTATTTTGGCACAGTAAAACCCTTGTTTATTTCATATTTGCAAGGGAGAATAATGAAATAATCTAGCAAGAACTCCCAAAATAGAGCTTCCCATGAGCTTAAAGAAACATTAACCGTTAGATTAAAGCTATTAAAATATGAACTGTTGGAACAAATCGAAATGACAAAAGAAAACGGCAAGTCCAGGTTACAGGTAAAGATAATCAAACAAAAGGTTTATATATATTAAAGATCCCTACACTATTTCAAAGTTTAAATATTCCATATACTTTACTTTTGTGGCGTTCAGTCCTTGTATTAATTTTTTATTTTGAAAATCTTGGTTACTTCCCCCATTTATATTTAATTTTGTTATTAATTATTCGCGTGGCAGTTATAAAAAGGTGAAATGATTTTTAGTCCTCTACCTTTATAACTTATTGATTTAACCATTAATATTTAAAATATTATCATTAATTGAACAATAAAATTTTTTAATTATCTATATTTAAAATTTTAAAAGGAAAATTGATAAAAATGTGAATATATAAGACTAAAAAGTTATTTTACCTTTTTTTATAGCTGTCAGGTCTAAAGACTAAAGTTACTAACAAGATTAAACATAAGGTGAGGGATGCACCTTTATTTTCAAATAAAAAATAGGGTAAATTATAACAGTGACCAACTAACTATTATTCATTTTCATTTTGATCACTATTTTTTAATTTTCATCAATCAGGTCATCTATCTATTTAAATGCATTCAATCAAGCCACTTGATGTTAATATTTAACGGGGAAATTGACATGTCAGTTAACAAAATTTGGTATAACTACATATTTGATAATTGTTTCTTACATATTATATAAATTTGATTCTAATTAAATAAGTTTAACCTTCAAATCAAATCATCCACATGTCACCATTAAATTGGAGGATTAAATTTATTTTAATTTATTCTTATTTAATAAATTTATTTCCCACCATTTGATTGGGGGAGTAGAGGAATCGAACTAGGGTTGCATGGGGGATAAAGCAATGTTGTGTGTTGTGAGTACTATGAATTAGACGCAAATTATGTTCAAATATACACAATCGCACAAGTAATAAAGAGTGAGTGAGTATCGTTCCCATGAGGATTGGAGGAAATTGCAAGTTAAGTTCAAACGCAAATACTAATTAATCTAAGTATAGTTATTGTGGTGGTATGCACAATGAGAATGTTGTGGCAAAATGAAATGTGTGCGGATGGGGTTTTTGTGGAAATGTGATGGCAATGTGGCAGTGTAGAAAATGGAAATGTCGTTGTAACACTCATTTCCCGTATACATTTTCGTACACAAGTCATAGATGTCACATGACTTTTAAAATATTTTCGCATTTGAAAACCAGTAAAATTTGGTTTTTATACATAAAACATTTTAATGTAATAATAATAAAATGTTCATTAACTTTTAGTATGTAAAATAGTCTTAAAGTTTTAACATATTAAATATTACAATCATCATAAGTCAAATACTTTCCAGAGCATTATCATAAGTCTATTACATGTCATCTAATAATATCAAAAGTAGACATAATTGTCATACAATTACTGATGAGGCAACCTATGATTTACGATGTCAACTGCACTCCTTACTCCGCTCGTACTAATACTTACGCGTGCAATCAACACACGCTAAGTATTCACTTAGTGAGGCATAATAATATAAAAGAGATGTAACCAAAATATAAGTATATCATAAAAAATCAAAATACGAATTAAGCCTATAAATCATAATAATACTTAAACTGGCTTGGTAAACCAAGTTTCTTTCACATAACATACGAAACAATATTTAGTATGCCCAACATACCTATCAATCAATATTTTTCCAAATTATCCTTTTATTTTCCCAATGTATGTTGAATGAGAATGCAAGGTACATGAATTGCACCTAAGTGCCAAAATGGTAATTCACAAACTCATTATGAATTCCATGGTTGCACACATAGTGCCGAAATGGTAATTCACAAACTCATTATGAATTCCATGGTTGCACACATAGTGCCGAAATGGTAATTCGCAAACTCATTATGAATTTCATGGTTGCACACATAGTGTCGATAGTACACATAGTACTGATACAAAAATGCAACATATGCATTAAACAAAATGCACCTATGACTCTCAATGCACATACAATAGGCCTTTAAGTCAAATTCGCAGAATAAACATTTATTTGAAACATCGATAGCTGTTAAAATAATATTGAAATACATACATCTATTTTAGAGCAGTTCATACTCTAAAATTTCTTCGTAAGAATCATTTCCATAAACTTTATGAAAATATTTTTAGATATGGTAAAACATTCTTCTATCAAAACATTCGAGGTTGACTCATCGCGAGTTATCCTCATATCATATAAGTACATAATAAATGCACTCACCTGGTATGCCTCACTATTATGCCTTAATGATGTCCGACTAGTCTGCTACTTTATCCTTACCTTTATGTTTGCTTAACTCAGGATTTTGATTACGATCTACACAAGAATCCATAATTACACATACAAATATGATGTTAGTATACTTACCAACATTTATCCAAAGTAATAATACTCAAAAGTACTATTAATTTCGAATTCTATTAAAATTCACCATAACTTAAAATTTTAAATTGAATAGTATCGGTACCCCTCCTACAGTATCGATACTTCTCTTCTATGGTACCGATACCCACTTCGTTATCGATACCATTCTAGCATTCTGGAATTTCATTTTTGATTACAGTATCGATATCTTTTTCTTGGTATCGATACCTACATCTCGGTATCGATACTTCTTTAAACCGGTATCGATATTGTTGATCTGAATCCTATACTATTTTTCTATTTTCACCTTTAACTATCGGTACTGTTCTTTCAGTACCGATACCCTTACCCAGATTTTACATATTTCAATTCGATTTTTACCCAAATTTCACCTAAATCTCTTACTCTTATCTCCTAACATACCATCAAACTCATTATCACTTATCCAAACTAACTTACATCCATAAATCTCCTTATAACATCTCATTTCCTTCAAAGAACACTTAAAACTAAAAAGCACACCAACATTTCAAACATGCTTTCAATCACTTCTAAGCCTCCAAATCTCTTCTTTACATCTTTGACAAGTCAAAAATGCTATGAACAAAAACATGTTTAAACAAGATAATGAAAATGAAAGATACAATAGTGGTAGATAACAACTTCCACTTATTTATTTAACTGCCTCATTATTCCTATAATGTTGGACGTGTAATTGAAATAGGATCTTTGTCCTCATTTGCCTCCCATTTCTTGATCATTTCTTGGGTAATTTCTTTGGACAAACCTTCAGACACGCAAATTTCTGCTTACTCCTTAGCAGCTTTTTGGTCAAATCCCATCATCATCTTTTCCTTCCCTAACTGGAAATTAGGCTCAAATTTAGTTCCAGAACAAATTTCCTTAGTGATGATAGTTTTATCTTGGTTCTGAATGCTCATTACAACTACGATTGGGGTAGTATTCACTAGACTCCTTAAATTTCCCCTGCTTTACTTATTTTCAGAAAATCTGATATAGGTGTCTGAGATGTCTTCAGAGTTGTATCTGCCTCATTTTTTCTTAAACCTGTAAGCCATTCTCGAATTACCTTTCCTTCCACTTTTTCGTTTCTTATTTCTTTTACTATCAGAGAAGTGTCGAGAGTTAAATCTGCCATACATACTTCACCTTCCTTAGTTTTTCCCTTTTCCCTTTTAATGTCCTCTGCTGTATGAACTTTACTTGTTTTGACACTATCAACTTCATTTTGGGGGTTGAATCCCACTTGTCTGATAAAAATGGATTGACTGTTAACATTCACTTCTATGATTCTATGAACCAAAAGGTCTTGAACTCGTCGTTTGAAGTTACTACAATTCTCGATGGAGTGTCCTCAGATTCTAACATGATATTCACAAAAGACTTTCTCATTATACCATCTCGGGTAAGGAGACAATAAAGGCTTAGCCTGACATGGGGCAATAAGTTGGGCTTTTAGTAACTCAGGATATAACTTGCTGCACGAAATTGAAGGAAACTTGGGTAGAATTTCCCTTGATATCACTGTCTCCTTACAATCGTTTACTTTGCTTTCTTGAAGACCTTGTGACTGATAACCAAAATGTTTTCTTTGAATGTTTGATTCTTTACCAACTCATAAGAGAGACAGTGATTTGAAAATTTCTCTTTCTCGACCAGTTTTGAGTTTTTGAGGAGCTTAGATTTCCCATCTTTAAAACATATCAACCCTTATGTTATAAGATCTTGGACTTTTAATCTCAGAATTATGCAATTTTCTGTAGAGTGATTGAAATCTCTAGAATGATAATTGCATGAATCTTTGACATTTTGCCAATCTGGGCGCAAATAAGTGCTAGGAGGAATTAGTGTTACAAGACTACTTTCAAATAGAAAGGGTAGTAATTCTGAATATGAAATAAGAATTGGAATAAGATGTGTCCTCTTCTTTTCCTTCTTGCTCTTTTTATCATTTTTCAATGGTACTTGGTCCTCTTCCATGCTTCTTTTCTTTGACGCCAGCTCAACCGATTTTTGGAGTTGTATTTGATTCCCGCATTCTTCTACTAGTTCCTAGTTATTTGTCCTTATTGTTTTGATTACAACACCAACGTTCATATTTTCATTCAAATCCTTCGTAAATGGATTCTCTAAGGGCTTTTCTCCATGAATCACGATATTCACCATGTCCATTAATTTGATCATTTGTTCTCTTGATTCACTTTGGAACTTCTCTGTTTGATCCATTTGTTCCTTTGAATCATCCTATAACTTTTTTGCTTGATCGATCATCTCTTGTTGAGTCTTTATAAGTTGTTCTTGGAGTTTCTTGATTTTACCAACCCTTGCTAAAATCTCATTCATGGTTCTTATCATTTTCTAGGAAGACCAAGTTAGCTCTAATTTGATTTCGAAAATTCTGTCATGAAATCCTCCAAAAATTATTCCCATATTTTCATGATTTAATACATGTAAAGTAGTATGAAACAAAATACATGATGTAAGATTGAAACTATAAATGTAACTATGTAAAGATGCAAATGTAATGAAGCAAAAAATAAAAATACAAATGTAACTATAAGAATGCAAAATGAAAATGCAAATGCAAATGCAAAGAAGGAGTTAATCAAGAGCGATCATCTTAAAACAACTTTCATTGAACACAAAAGTTTCAATATATCAAACAAAACTCTAAACATAAGGGATAGCTTTCACTCCTAACTTCTCTATCTCCTTAAAAGCCAAATTAACTTCCACTTATTCTCAGGTGTGGAGTTGTCAATATGCTTTAATTCTCTCGTGAAGCCATCTAAATCAACCAGTTTATTAGTCACATTGCTTGCTTGATCAGCAACTTCCTTCATGACATTACCTTTTTCTTTCATATTCTGTATTAATTCTCGGAGTTATAGGCAATGTTGTTCGTTTTTCTTATGAGGGAATCTTTATGGTTACGGAGTTCTTGTACAAGATCTCCGTAATCATTTACCATCTTCATCAATGTATTATTCTTGGCTCTAGTGGCTTTTAATTTAGCATCAATCTCATGCTGATGGATTTGATATGATGCTTCCATGTTGGCTACGACCCTTCTTAATATTTTATTTTCAGCTTGATGTTTTTCCAAATTGATGATGGTTGTATTGCACATTTCTTCTGCAACCCGTAAACCTTGAGAAAACTTATTGGCTCGACCTTCATGTATCTTGCATTTTTTTTTTCAGTTTGATGACCCCTGTTATCCACTATTCTCGGGTATTTCCTATACCAACATTTTTAAAAGCTTGATTGACCTTTTGCATGGTTTCCCTTTTTGTGCTCAATTTATCGTTTTCAATCTTGATATGATGTATTTGAGTCTCGTACATCAGCAAATCTTCTTCCTTCTGGATGCCCCTACTGATATTCATACCTTTGAACACTTTTGGTATTAATCTAGCAGGACCATCAGTTACCAAATTATGTCGATCATTTATCATAAACTCTAAGATTCCATGATTCAAAAGACATTGGACTCGATGTTTAAAGGCAATGCAATTATCAATGGAAAGTCCTTGAGCTCTGGCATGATATTCACATTGAACACTGATGTCATACCAATTCGGATACGAAAGTTGCCACATTTTCACATAATGTGGAGCCGCTTCTCGCGCTTCAAGTAGCTTCTCGTACAACTCCTTATATGATATAGGGATAGCATCAAAATGAGAACCACCTTTTGTATTAGATTGAACCTGAGTTTCCGACGTCGGGAGCAGACTAAACTTCAAAGATTTCAGATTGTATGATTTCTTCTCATTTCTGGGAGCTTTTACAGTTGTCACCATTTCCTTGGTATCTCTAGATAACTTGTGAATACGAATGATGATTGTATGTAATTTCTCAAATTGGTTAGAATCAGAAGTCCCTTGCATATCTGATATTGCAGGATTATATTCATTGAGCTCTCTCTCTTTTTATGCAAGAGTCTCTTTTCCTTTGGCTAAAACAGATATTCTACCCATCATCTTTGTCGTAACCGTTTTTTGCCCGGAGGGAAAAGATCGATACTGACTCGGGGGTTTTCTCTTTGAAAAGATTTTTGAAATGTGAGGAGTCGCCACCAATCATTTAAGGTGCGATTGGAACACCATAAAAACCGGATGATTTTAATAAAACATTTTTTTTATCAAAATATCGAGTTTTGAGGTATACGAAAATCTAGAAATCAGGTTTGGAAGTCGGTTACGCGTGGGGAAGGATTAGCACCCCCACAAGCGCCCAAAAATTGGTACCTAGTTGATTACCCTATATTTAAAATCAAAAATTTGGAGTTCGATCTTTATTTAATTTAAAAATCATTAAGGATGTAAAGTTGAAAAGGGTATTCGTTTATCGAGACCGATAGCATTTGCCCCCGAGCATAAATACGGGAGATCAGCTATTGTGCCTAATAACCGAATATTGCCTCATTTTTAGAAAACATGATGTGGTTTTGAAAAGGATGTTGACTTATTCAGGGAATTTTTCTAAAAAATAAAATCAGACATAAAAATGGAAAAATTACAAAACAGTGCCTACAGGACTAACATGCAAAAATATAGAATCATAATGTCTAAACAACAAAAATTAAATACACTAACACTTAGGACCAAAATTAAACGTGCGAAAAATACATAAACAAAATTATAAACATACAAACTTCCACCTAGAGACTATAATACATAAAACCAAAAGTTGAATGGTTTATAAAATGAATAACCCACACGCGAAATATAAAATAACCTGAACCTTGAACGTTTAATCTACTGCGCTAGAAAAGGAAGAAAAGGTTTTTTTTTTAACTTAATTAAACAACTAAAGTCTTTATATTTCTCTTATAATTATGCAGTTTTTATTAAACGTCTTTATAATTTTATATGAGGTAAGTTACGAGGTTTCAACAGTACTGAATTGCAAGTATGAATTAATAATTTTCATGGGGCATTTGGCGTTTTGCAAGACACTCAAACGGCGTAGCTTTGACGCTCGTACATCAACATATAGGGTAAAACATTTATCCTAATTCAGTTCCAGAGCCCAACTATTTCCCACAGCCATTCTACATCTTCTCCACTTCTCTCTTCTTTCCACAACGGCGCGACTCTCCCACAGCCAAGACTCCAAAGGCCTTCGATTCTGCCCCTACCTCCGGCAACATGACCATTTCAGGCGAAGAGGACTAAATATATAGGTAAATTATTCTCCTAAATCTCTTTATTTCTAGTTTTCTAATAATTTACGCCTGGGTTTTGTTCTTATTCTCTGCTGTTGTTTAGTTCCCGAAAATATTTGTTTTTCTTTTCCGAAACGAAACCCCCAAGGTCCTACACTCCATGTATCTACCGGCGTTATTCTTGACAGTCACCAAAACGACCGACCAATCCTAGACCTAGCCAAGAGACCTTCTCTTCTACTCTAATGGTCTTGATTCTAATAAGGACACCCATAACATAATAACCCCGAAACCCTCTCAATCGATCTCTAAAGGACTAAAATCAATCCCTAAACCTCTCGAAGTCAAACCACAACTGCTCGTCTCACGGTCAAGGTAAATTCTTTCTACCTCACTCTTTTCCGTTTTTTAAAAAAATTTATTTACCAATACTAACATCAATTCTTCTTCTCTAATGACAGAACCCGAACAGTGATGGAGTCAACGAGATTTTATTGGAACTCACACAACTCAGGTAAATTAACCCAAATCCGTCTTTTTTATTATTATTCGTATTCTTTACAAAATAAAAAATTTTGGAAATAAAAAAAATTCTTTCAAAACAGTATCATTGTTAATACTAATTTAGTTACTTTGAATAGTTTATGATTGAGATTTAACCTCTAAAACCATGATCACCAAATGTTGATACAGTTAAAATTTTAATTCGATGTTGGCTCTATGTTTCTCTGTTACTGCTTTTGACCAGTGCTTATGCTTATATATCACTGTTGTCTTTTAAATACATAAAAATAGGGAATGAAACAATAACGTATTCACCTTGAAATTATTTCAAATTAAAAAAAAACAGAAAATAAAATATAGTAGAAATAAATTGAAAACCTTGAGATGTTTCATGTTTGGTATTGCTTCTGTCGAAGAGAATGTGGAAACCTTTTACAAATTTATCTCTTTTGACTAAGAAATTCCCTGTCTCCGAGTGTTTTTTCTCTTTGTCTTGATTCCTCATTGGTTCCTTTCCCCGTTGAAATTTCCCTCTATTTATGGTTGTTTTAAATCCACCTTTTTCTTCAATTAGTGCTGAAGCAGGTATCTTTAATCCCGTAATTTTTGGGGTTTTCTTTTTATTTCAAAGGTTTAGGTAAACTTATGAAGTTTTTGTTGACTTTGGTTTTGATCCAGTCACGTTTGCTGAGATTGCCAGATGATGACAGCTTATAGAAGAATTTAGTAATGGCTCTACGTTGGCTTGGCACTGCAGTGGGAGGCATGCGTGGATGACAGTGGCAATTTGATTTAAGATTAGGATTTTAGCAAATCCTAAATTCACTATATCGGGTCTCTGAACCGGGTTACACTTGGGCTTGAACCAACATCTTGTAATTGGGTTGATATTTGTAACTAGGTCTTGGGCCTGTAAAATATAATATGTAACATTAATAATAATATATTAAAAGACGGGACGAAAATGTTAGTGTCGACAGCTGTCCCTCTTTGTTCATTCTTGTGTCAACAAGAATAGGGCAAAGATGAAGAGACAGTGTGTTTTTCGTCTAGTCAACTTCATAGTTTGAAATATGATAAAGGATATGTTCCGCTGTCACTCAGGAAATATCAAATATGGGGATGTTAATCCACTACGTTGTTCTTCAGAGAAGATTGAATTAGGGTAAACTTGTTCTATTATCACTCATGGAATATTAAATCTTGAAAGAGAACGATCTATTTTGCTTCTTCTAAGGGAATATTAGATCTGGGAAAGTTGATTCATTGAATTAGGGTAGACTTGTTTCGCTGTCACTCAGGGAATATCAAATATTGAAAGAGAGGATCATGTTTCGTTTCTTCTGAGGGAATATCAGATCTGGGAAAGTTGATAAATTGAATCAGGGTAGATTTGTTCCGTTGTCACTCAGGGAATATCAAATCTTAAAAGAGATATGTTTCGCTTATTCTGAGGGAATATCAGATATGAGAAAATTGATCCATTGAATCAGGATAGATTTGTTCCGCTGTCACTCAGGGAATATTAAATCTTGAAAGAGATGGATCTGTACCGCTTCTTCTGAGGGAATATCAGATCTGGGAAAGTTGATCCTTTAAATCGGGTAGACTTGTTTCGCTGTCACTCAGGGAATATTAAATCTTGAAAGAGAGGGATCTGTTCCGCTTCTTTTGAGGGAATATCAGATCTGGGAAAGTTGATCCATTAAATCAAGATTGAACCTGAAAATTAAACATTAACCTTTGTTAGTATGTGTTTGAGGATTCAAAAACATCATACCTGAAAGTCTTGGGATAATAATTTTTGGAAGAGATTTCTCTTGCGAAATCTTGTCTTGCCCCGGCTCATCATGGAAATTCGAATCGGTTATTTCTATATTGGGCATTTCATCTTTGTCATTTCTTTTAAGAGAACCTGCAAGCACTCATTATTATGCATTTTATGTCATGATCATGTTTATGCCTAAAATGTGTGCAATGATGTAGTTATTTGAGAGTATTTTCTTTTCAAACGAGAATTTTCTTTTGTTAACGGCCTTGTACTTTAGACTAATTTGGGCATAAAAAATTAACAACAGTTCATCTCAATCGACAATCCTGGCTGGACATTCTTTGGTTGAGCCTGACTCTGATTCTCTTTACTCTTTGAACCCATGTGCTTCTCATGACCCACTATTTAATCAGTGATAAAACCTCTTAGGTTATCCCACATTGTTGAGCAATCGCGTGTATCCTAAAGCTTTAACTTCTTATGGCCTGACATTGCATAAGCCTTCTGTTAAAACCATTTTCGGCTTCAGAATATCTGTATTTTTCAAAACTTTTTGTACAATAATGCACAATGATCTCATGTTTCCCAAGATAATCGACATGTTTTTATTTTTACTCATGATGCTTGCAACGCGGTTAAAAACATATTTTTATTTATAAATAAAGATATTTTTGTGAATACATGACAAACTTTTAACTGGAATAATCAAAAGAAAATATAGTAGGCATCATCATACATTAATAGTACAAATGCTCTTGAACTGGTATGCCGTAAGAGAACCCGAGTGTAGCTTCTGTCACGGGGATCTTGATGATTGTGGTAATGCGTAAGGGTGTGAAGTTCCCCCTGTACTGCCAAATTCCCGACTATTGGATGCCATAAACTAGTGTTTGAATCTCGTTTACTTTCTGGTTACCCAATCTTTTCGATTTCTAGCCCCAACTCTGACTACCATTTCAAGCCTTCAAAACTAATTCAAAAACTCCACCATGCACGAATTCTGAATTTAAACAATTCTCAAGCCGCCCTTTATGTTTTCAAACTGAGACCTTCTCTGATTTCAAGATGCCCTTTACGAGTTTTCATCTTTAACCCTCTTTTTATTTTTTATTTTTCTCATTTTTTCTTTCATTTTTCTTTTCTTTTTTATTTTTTAGTCTATTTCATTTTTTAGGCGAAATACTTCTTGATTGCGTCAGCATTCACAGGGTTAGATAACTCTGGTCCATTCATCTCGGTGAGGATCAAAGCTCCTCCAGAAAAGGCCTTCTTTATCACATAAAGTCCTTCCCAATTTGGCATCCATTTACCTCGAAAGTCTTTCTGTATTGACAAAATCTTTCTTAGCACCAAGTCTCTTTCTTGAAACTCTCGTGGGCAAATTTTTTCGTTATGTGCCTTTATCATACGTTTCTGATACATTTTCCCGTGACAGATAGCTTTTAATCTTTTTTCCTCAATCAAATTCAACTGATCATACCTAGCTTGCACCCATTCTGCTTCATCTAGCTTAACCTCTGACAGCACTCGTAGTGATGGAATCTCAACCTCGATGGGTAGCACAGCCTCCATCCCATAAACTAGAGAAAACGGAGTTGCCCCAGTGGACGTCCTCACTGAAGTTCGATAGGCAAACAAAGCGAATGGTAACTTCTCATGCCAATCTCTATAAGTCTCAGTCATTTTCTGTATGAGCCTCTTGATATTCTTATTGGCTGCCTTTACTGCTCCATTCATCTTTGGGCGATAAGTGGTGGAATTATGATGTTTAATCTGGAACTGTTTACATACTGACTTCATCATCTTGTTGTTTAAATTCAAGGCATTGTTAGTGATGATCCTTTCTGGTAGCCCATATCGACAAATAATTTATCTCTTCAAGAACTTGTAAACTGTTGACTGAGTAACATTTGCATAGGAGGCTGCTTCTACCCACTTAGTGAAGTAGTATATTGCCACGAATATGAAACAATGGCCATTAGAAGCTTTGGGTGAAATTTGCCCAATGACATCCATGCCCCACATAGAGAATGACCATGGAGTAGTCATTACATGCAATGTATGAGGAGGGGTGTGGAGTTTATCTCCATAAATCTGGCATTTATGACATTTTCTGGCGAAATTGTTAAAATCAGTTTCCAGGGTTGACCAATAATACCCAAATCTCATTATTTGTTTAGCCATTGCATGTCCATTAATATGGGTATCGCATACTCCTTCATGCACTTCTTCAATGATCATTTTAGCTTCTTTGGCATCCACACATCGCAACAAGACCTGATTATGACTTTTCTTATACAGGATCTCGCCATAAAGCACATATCCTACGCCATTCTTTGAATAGTTCTTTTGTTATTTTCAATGGCCTGCTCGGGGTAACTTTGATATCTAATGTATTGTAAGATGTCGTAATACCAAGGATTTCCGTCATCTTCCTCTTCTATACTATAACAATGGGCTGGATACCCATATGCTTGCATAGTAATAGGCATCATGCTTGAATGTTCATTGACTTTGAAGGCTGCTGCCAAAGTGGCTAGGGCATCTGCCATTTGATTATCTTCTCTGGGGAGATAATGGAATGTCACTTTCTCAAATTCTTTAATGAGCTCTATGACCAACTTACAATATTCCACCAACTTCGCATCCTTTGTTTCCCATTCACCTCTGAGTTGATAAATTAGCAGGGCTGAATCCCCGTATACTTTGAGTTTTTTCACTTTACGCTCAATGGCAGCTCTAAGACCCATGATGCATGCTTCATACTCGGCCATGTTATTCGTGCAATCAAAGTTCAATCGGTTGGTAAAAGGATAGTGTTTTCCATCAGGTGAGACCAGAATTTCCCCAATTCCGTGCCCCAAGGCGTTCGGGGCACCATCAAAATTCATCTTCTACTGTTCATTAAAAGAGGAAACTTTCTCTTCAGTTGAAATAGCCATTAAATCTTCGTCCGAAAAATCGAAGTTCAGTGGTTCATACTCTTTAGAAGCCCTACTTGCAATGAAATTGGCCATAACACTTTTTTTAACTGCTTTTTGGCTTACATATTGGATGTCAAATTTAGACAATAAGATTTGCCAACGAGCCAATATTCCAGATAAAATAGGTACACCCATTAGATATTTCAGAGGATCAAGTTTAGATATCAGCCAAGTAGTGTGATACATCATATACTGTCTGAGCCTTCGGGTAATCCAAACTAAAGCACAACACAACTTTTCTATTGGTGAGTACCTCGTCTCGCAATTAGTGAACTTTTTACTGAGGTAATAGATTGCTCTTTCTCTTTTCTCAGTTTGGTCATGCTGCCCTAATACACACCCATTGAATTCTCAAAGATTGACAAGTAGAGGATTAATGGTTTGCCTGATATTGGTGGTATTAAGACTGGAGCATTCGACAAATATTCTTTTATTGCTTCAAAAGCTCCTTGGTAATCATCGTTCCATACCCTTGGGTTATTTTTGCGGAGAAGGCGAAAAATGGGATCGCACTTCTTAGTTAATTGCGAAATAAATCGAACAATATAGTTTATCTTCCCAGGAATCCTCAAACTTCTTTTTGTGTTTGTGGGGGTGGTAAATCCTGAATAGCTTTGACCTTTTCAGGATCTACTTCAATCTCTTTTTTGCTTATTACAAACCCTAAGAGTTTTCCCGATGTTACCCCGAAGGTACACTTGCTTGGATTGAGTTTTAACTGGCATTTCCTTAATCTTTGGAAGAGTTTCCTCGGATTCTTGATATGTTCTTCCTCCGTTTTAGCTTTAACAATCATATCATCGACATAGACTTCTATTTCCTTGTGCATCAGTCATGGAATAGTGTTACCATGGCCCTTTGATAAGTTGCTCCTGCATTTTTTAACCCAAACGACATCACCTTATAACAGAACGTGCCCCACATGGTGACAAATGTAGTTTTTTCCATATCATCTGGATGCATCTTTATTTGATTGTAACCTGAAAACCCATCCATAAAAGAAAATAGAAAGTTTCCAGCCGTATTGTCCACTAGGGTGTCTATGTGTGGCAGAGGGAAATTATCTTTCGGACTGGCCCGATTAAGATCTCTGTAGTCGACGCACATGTGGACTTTCCCATCTTTCTTTGGTACTAGAACTACGTTTGCTACCCATTCCGGATACTTGGCTACTTTCAGGAACCCAGCATCAAATTGCTTCTTTACTTCTTCTTTAATTTTAAGTAGCATTTCAGGCCGCATCCTTCTACGCTTTTGTTGTACTGGTTTACATTCGGGCTTTATTGGCAACTTATGTACCACTAACTCAATGTCTAAACCTGGCATGTCCTCATACGACAAAGAAAACACATCTTTGTACTCTCGAAGTAGCTCAATCAAACTTTGTCGTCCCTCAGCAGATATGATGGTGCCAATTTTTATCTCCTTTTTATCTTCCTCTGATCCTAGATTCAAGATCTCAATGGGCTCTTTATGAGGCAGAATTTGTT